GTAGTGGTGAAACTTTTTCACACCTTCTATTACTGCGAGTGCCTCAAGTTCATAGCTTGAATAACAACTTTCAATGTCATTCGTCCTTCTACTCCTAATATATATACAGAGTGCATTTCTCCTTCTTCATTCTTCTGCATGAGAATAGAGGCTAGAGCTATGCTAGATGCATCTGAATGAAGTTCTGTATGCAGCTTCTGGTCAAAAATCATCAGTACTGGTTCACTCGTTAGCTTCTGCTTCAAAATGTTGAACGCTTGTCGCTCTTTAGGCCCGAAAACAAACTTCACATCTTTCCTCATCAAATCTGTTAGCGGCCTTGCTATCTGTGCATAGCCTCTTATGTACTTTCTAAAATAGGAAATCAGCCCGACAAAACTTTGGATCTGTTTGAAATTCACAGGCTCGGGGTATTGTGCGACTGCTTCAATCTTATCCGGACTGGGTTGTACCTGCCAGTCTTTGACCAGATGTCCCAAGTATTCAACCTCGTGGTGTATCAGCCTCGCCTTTTTCCAGTTGATTTCAAGCCCGTACTCAGCAGCCACCTCCAGCACTCGTCTTAATCTCTGTACAGCATCTTCCTCCGTCTGCGCTGGAATAACAATATCGTCTATGAATATCATCATAACACCTTCTTGTATCAAGTCCCTAAATATGATGGTGATGAACCTCATGAAGTACTTCGGCGATACGGAGAGACCAAATGGTGCTCTAAGAAATTCCCACTGCCCATGATGCGTGACAAACGATGTGAAGGGTATGGACTCCTTGCTCATTCTTAAATGGAAGAAACCATTTTTAAGATCTAGGACACTGAACACCTTAACATCTTTCAACTTATCAATTAGTTCCTCGATCAATGGTAAGAGAAATTCATCTTTAACCATCTTCTTATTCAACTGCCTATAGTCAATGCATACTCTAGTTGAACCATCTTGTTTCTTTACAAGGACTACAGGGCTAGTATATTCAGAGAAACTCACCTGAACAATTCCTTTGCGTAACCACTCGTCTACCTGATCCTCCACTATCTTCTGTTTCATCAAGGCAAATCTTCTTGGGCGCTGTGCCACTGGGATGTCATCTTTAAGTATAATCTTGAGTTCGATAGACGCCTCTTTCGTCTGGACCGGGTTATACTGCGTCACGAGCTGCTCCACCTCTGCCTTAATGCCATCGTCGTGGATGTGACCTGCAATATCAACCTTACTCACACAAAAATTCACTCTCGTCAACCATTTCTCACCTTCAGGTAACAACAAGACGGAACCCTCGCGCATAACCATGACAACATTTTTTAGAAATTCCTGACTTAAAATCACTTTATAGGTACGATGTGAAAAATATCCCCTTCGTAACATCTTCCGTCGATCGAAACACTTTCGTAAAACTTTCCACACGATTTTGTTTTTGACAGTCCGAGTCCCGCTAAAATCGTGTTATCGGCGCACTTGTCCACGTTCAGTTCATTATACACGTCACTTGCCATCAGATTAATTTGACTGCCCGTATAGATTAACGCGTCCATGTCCATTCCGCACAACTTAATTAATTTAACCGGCGTATTTTGTTGCTTTTCGTGTTTTTTTACATCTTGCCAGTCGTCGTTCTCGTTCGCTGTATTGCAGCTATCATGGCTGCCCGCAGTGTCCGCTCTTCTATTGGCCGAAAGTCCGAATATGGCCGATTGTCGTTGCGCTTCCGCCGTACTCTGCTTTACCGACATTTGCTGTCTCCCTTTCTCCCCCATGCCGCTTACGCGATACTCGCGAAACTGCTTACCTGACGATTCGCCCATGTTTGCAACGCCGCTGCTCTGCTCGTTCGGGCACTGTATACCAATATGGCCGAACTAATTACACCGGAAGCATATCGTTCCATTCGTACACGCTGTTGAAATATGACTTGGATCGCCGCACTAATAACATCTTTTATTATTATAAGGTTGCTGCCGACTTACTGAACCCGACGATGAAGTCGATGGATATGATATGGATGACTTTCTTTGTTTTTCAGGAACGATCTTTGTCTTCATTTTTTCATAACAAACGAGTTTTTCTTTTAACACTGAATGTGATGTAATTCCATACAACATCATCTTGTTTACTTCTTGATCTACGATGCCGTCCACGATGTACTGGATCGAGACGTAGTCTGGGAATTTAGCTCTTTTGCCCAGTTCCTTCGTAATCAGCATATACTGATAACAAGTTTCGTCCCGCTGTTTCTTGGGCGACGCCATTAACTCGTGCATCTCTTTTTGCGTTAAGTGAGTCAGGGAATTCTTTCTGCAGTGCTGTTTTGAGCTCTTCGAACGTCTTAAAACTTTTTCTGATCGTAGCCACAGTTCAGCCGTGCCTGTCAAGGATCTTCTCGCTACTATTAATTTTTGCTGATTTGTCCAGCTAAAAACCTCCTTATTGTCTTCGATGTCCTGAGCCCACTTTGTTGACAAATAAGTCTTGTCATCACCGCTAAACTTCGGGATGCTGTCCACCATGCTTGAAAAGCCTTCCGCCGCCATTTTTACGTCTTGTGAATCTTTTACAGCCTTTTCTTGCAGCGCGTCTTGAGCTGGAGTCTTCTTAACTTCGTTAACGTCGTTATTTTCTCCCATCGGAGAACCACCTTCTTATATTAATGTGCTGCACCGTCGCCGCCTTGCGACGGTACCGCTGCGCACCGTGACCAGGTGCCGTCGTAACTTGAAACTGGATTATTTTGAGGCTATCCCACTTCTGACACCAAAATTATGTTAGATTTTGGAAGACCTCTTAATAAAAATCAAGAATAATGAATAGTTTGTTTTATTTTCACTTTTTAACACCTTTTTTAATTAATTAATGCACTTAAGTCACGCACGCTTCCGTTCCTCGTTCCCAAAAAAAAAACCTTCTCCCACTCCCTCTCGCACCTCACGTCCTCCTCACACACTTACGTTCCGTTTCACTCCGTTCCCTTAGGTTCCATTCCTACACTACAGACGTTGAAATAGCTTCTAAAATCTTTACAAAAAAAGTGCTCCACTAAACTCATTTGTGCTTTATCAAGTTGATCCATTGGAAGTAGTAAGTGCCATAAAGGACTTCAGGCAATCTAGTGCAACTGGATGGGACGACATACCTTGTAGGGTACTGAAAGACAGTTGTCATGTTCTGGCGGAACCTATGATGCATTTGTGTAACCTGAGCTTTAATACAGGTACCTTCCCTAATATATTCAAAAGAAAAATAGTTACACCGTTATACAAATCAGGTGACAAAAGACTTCCCACCAACTATAGGCCCATGTCATTGTTGACTTCATTATCTAAGGTTATGGATAAAATTGTAAACAAAAGACTCTTAAGATATCTGGAACAACATAAATTTATATCCAATAACCGGTCGATCTACGGATGATGCCGTTCAAAATCTTACATCACAAATAGTCAATCATCTGAATGCGGGTGATAAATGCCTTGGTGTATTTTTGGATCTTCAAAAAGCATTCGATACAGTGTCTATTCCCATCCTACTGGCACGTATGGAAGGCTTTGGTATAAGAGGTACCCCGCTAATGTGGTTTAAAGACTATCTGAGTGAAAGAAAACAAAACGTATGACTTTATAACTTCCTAAGTGACAGCGCATCCTGTACACATGTTATTCCACAAGGAAGTACACTGGGCCCCACGATGTTTGTGATCTACATTAAGACCTGTGTAATACAGTAGTAAATGGTGTAACAATTCAGATGTTTGCAGACGATACTGTACTTCTATTTCGGGAACGAACCTGGAACTCAGTATACAAGTTAGCTGAAGAAGGTTTAAAAACCGTTACTGCATGGCTGAAAGACAATCTACTTTCATTAAATACGTCTAAAACAAAGTTCTTAAGCTTTAGCATTACAAATGCTAGCAAGCCGAGTGTAAATTCAAAATTAGTTAAACATAAATTTCCTTTTAACAGGTTTCCAACCATCACACCCGAATGTAACTGTCCGCACTTATTGCGTAGTGACAATGTAAAATACTTGGGCGTAATTATTGATGACAAGTTAAATTGGTTAGCACATATCACTGCTGTTAATAATAAATTAAGGAAGCTCATAATATATGTGTTTAAAAACTTAAGAGATGTTTTAGATAATGAGGCTATAATCAAAATATATAAAGTCCTTGCAGAATGTGTTATGATTTACTGCATTAGTTCTTGGGGTGGGGCAGCTAAAACACACCTCATCGAACTCGAACGTGCACGACGTGCTTTATTGAAAGTTATTAAAGGCATACCTTTTAGACACTCGACTAAGGACTTAAAGTTATATATTTTCCATACGAAAGTTATATATTTTCCATTTTATTCGTAAATAGTATATAAAATAGTATAGTAAATAGTAAAGAGAGGCAGAACCAGGTTAAACTCAGACAGTCGCCCTGGAATATACCCCTTCTTATCCTTATGCGGCTTTCCGCAGCCGTCATCCGATCGCCTATATGATAGAGGATCGTACTCCACTACCCCATACACTGCCTGAGGAAATCTTGAACTGTACAGTCAATCTTATATAGCTCGAGGACCCTCTTCAGTCATGTATGGGGCAACGAGTCAAATGCCTTTCTGTAGTCTATCCAGGCGGCGGAGAAGTTCCGACGGTTGCGTTTCACCACTTTGCCAATTAGTGAGGAGCGGTTCCTTGGTTCCACGACCGCCGCCCCCGACATCCATTTTGAGCGCGCGACATCACCTGATTTGAGTCCAGGTGACGAGTGATTCTTGCGTTCAAAATGGATGTTAGTTTCTTATATATGGTCGGTAGACACGTGATGGGGCGGTATTTGCTCGGGTCTGAGGTACCCCGGTCTTTAGGAACCAAATGAGTGATCCCAGTAGTGAAGAGGCTTGGTTGAGACTTCTGGTTGAGAGCCTCTTGAAACTGTCGGGCGAGTACAGCGTGACACACCATGAACCCCTTCAGCCAGTAGTGATGCAGCCCGTCAAGCCCCGGACTTTTTCAGTTCGGGACCCTACGGACCGCCTCAGCTACGTCATCCGGCGTTATGATGACGGGGTCCATGGGCGTTATACCCGCACACTCACTCGCCACAACTTCCGTCCAAGAGCCCTCACTGTGGTTTACGGGCTCTGACCACAGGCTGCGCCAGAATGCGACCGTGTCAGCCTGATTCAGTGCTGGGCCCGTTCCACTTACCATTGGTCGCTCCAATGATTTATAAAGCCTCTTCTGATCACTCTGGAAGAGACGATTCTGGTTGAACCGTGTCGACTTCTCGGTATATCGCCGAATCCGCTTTCTCCAAGCAGCGATTCTCCGTTTCAGGTAGTCTATGCGCTCCGTCAGTTTTTGCATTATGTCCGGCTGGGACAAACTAACATTTGTCCCAGCAAACGCCATCCTGACGGTGCGCACAATCCTTGGTCTGACCTGAAGCATATCAGTCTGCCGATGAGGGCCCTAGCCTTTGCGATACGTTTTTCAATTCTTATTCTCCAGTTAGGGATAGCCCTGCTTTGTCCAGTAGCGCGTCCAGCCGTGGAGAGTTTGGCGTCTATAATACGGCAGACTGCCAGTGCGGCGCCAAAAAGAATTGAGTCTGTCTTGCAAAGGTCCACGCTGGCTTCCAAATAGGTCACTAGCATTGGGTTCAGAGCCCTCACGACAGACCGATTCCGCTTGCTTAGGGCTATGCGGGGAAGTCGCGGACTCGCAGTCGATTTTCGAGAGGCGTACTGCGCGTTTCCACAATCGCCTCTTCCAATTATTATTATTATTATTATTATTATTATAAATGTATATCAAAAACGATACCTGAGCAGTTTCTTCTGACGTTTCTACATAGTAGTAGCAGTATTATATATTCTGTGATAGTAAATAAAAAATACGTTTAACAAACAATTCATATAACACCGTTTATATAATAATTTAAGTGGATTTTTTAAAATAGTTGTGCAAACAATGAAACAAATACTTAAAATTTTGCAATGTGACGCCTCAACTTATATTAAATGAAAATATGTTTGAATAAAAAACATGTTAGATTAGATTGCACGAGTACAGATACCGTTAAGTATAAATAATTTAAAAAGAACATACGTCGAAAAATATAGAAATTTCATTTCATTTCTCTAATTGTGAGGGTTTTTCGTAATCGCTATACTTGACAAGCGGATTAGTGAGAGTAGTACCGGAAGCGTAGCGGTTTGCCAACGACACGGGTATGCGTATTTTAGGCATTTTATACTTTAGGGCTATTACGTCGTTATGTTACCACAGAATTATACATAATACATACATTTTGCGCTATATAGATATGGCTCGACCTAGGAAATAAACTTCGAGATAGAACTATGCGGGATTATATTCCTTCTTAAAGTTTATCAACGGTGAAAATACGACCAACTGACGATAGCCAATTCCAAGATAATAAAGAAATTTTAAAAATTTAATATCGCGGCTTCATAGGGTTATAAGAGAATGCTTCACTATTATCCCACCTCTTGGTCTGAAGATCGTAAAGCGCGCTGACTTATAGCATAACCTAGGCTGAATAGATTTCCTACGAAGCCTCGGCTTGACGCTACCTATTAAACACACCTATCATTACAGTCTATCAAAAACACATTACTGAACACAACTCTTCGTCAAAGATCGCTTTATATATTTATATACATTTGCCATAATTGCCATGCTTGACAACTGCAGTTTTTTTAATTAATTTGATCTGTTAAAACAAAATTATCTGTTAAAAAAGCTGAGCTGTTAAAAACATTTGTTTGAAACAATATTAAAGAAATTGTTAATTGAAAATGTTTTTTACAATCTCAATGAGTTTTTTAATAAAATTAATGTTAATAAGTAGTAAATTTTAATTTTTTTTAATTGTTGCATATCCGAAATGGGTAAACTGTTGAGCCTAAAACTATATGTTTTTGTACTAAGATCATATTGTATATAGTTATGCAATAAATTTATCTTTATCTTTATCTTTGTTATCCGTAAGATCTGCTGGCGACATCCTCTTTCATTTTACTCTGTCGCCCCTTATGACATCACATGATATTATGAGGTAGTGGTCTTCTGCACCACTACATGGAACACCGAGGTTTGCCGTTTATTAAATTTTATAAAAGTGGGCATGAGATATGTGTGAAATATTATTTGAAAGGTCAGCAAATATTTTATTATAATTATTCGCAAAAAGGCTCTTTAAAGCTTAAACAAAAGGCCCCTGAAATGCTTTTGTCTTATTAAACCGAATTAAAGAGATTATGATAATTAAGGTAGAACGCCTCTGCTACTTCAAATTCAAAGGCAAAATCAAAGAGATAATTACGAAATGTACGTCTATGAGGTGGAATATCTGTTTATTATTTGCATCTAAGGTGTTAAAGGACTACCAAGATTTCTAAGATCCGTATTTTTTTTCTAAAACTACGGTTCTCATCAAACAGTTAGAGACAGACGGAGCATTTTAATTGATACCGAAACCATGCTCATCTTCTTGACTCTCACTCACGAACACAACATGTTTTTTTTTTCTTTCTTTGTGAAGCATTCCTAGATGCGCGAATATACACCTTAAACCATGTGGTTTGTTGCAAATGATTTTAAATGCATATATACTGAAGCCAGTCGGTTTATTATAATAAGGTTAGCATAATTTTGTCTTGGTTATTGCGTCACTTGGAGTGTACGCAGCGCTTCGTCGTTCTTATTTTTATTGGTCTGAGTACTAGGGCTGTTAGAAAACTCATCACTATCGGTTATTTGTAATACAACTAGAAAACCTGAAATATAACTTTTCTACTCCACTTTTATATTATGATATATTATTAGCAAAGAAAAAACCATTATAAATAAAAAGTGGCTAGTATTTTAAATATTTGTCCGTGGAAGGAAATGGGGAAATTTTCAACCTAGCCCTCTCAGCCCAGGACACAGCCTATGCTCCGTGAGGTTCGGAGCTTGTTCTATACACACATATAGAGATTTAGGTTTCGGTAAATTCACGCTAATATGGCTACAACGACAGTACAGCCATAAATATAATATATTACACACATATATATACATAAATACTCACGCCTGTTATCCAGAGCGGTTGACAGAGACTACAGACTTCCTTTTGACACGATCCTGACACATCTCTCTCGCCTCCTCCACATACCTACGCAGACATGCTCGTCGTTTAAAGGTCTTAATTTGGATATTCTTAATGTTCAACATATCGACAATTTGGTCAATAAACTTTCGCCTAGAACTTCCCTTTCTGACTCTGCCGTTCACTTATGCAACATAAAATTGCTTTTTCATTGTTTCTTCATATATTCTTTCTACTTGATCAAACCATCGAAGCATTCCTTTCTTAATCCTGGTCACAACATCATCTTGAAAAGCACACTCTTCTCTAATCACACAATTTCCCACCCTGTCACTTAGATTCAGTCCTAACATACTCCTTAACGACCGCGTTTCTACTGCGTTTATTCTAGTTCGTCGTTAAATCGTTGTTATCTCGTACTTCTTCTGCCACATCCAACTTTCACCATACTACCATATTGTATAGCATGTCAAATTTTAAAGCATTTACAAAAAGTTTTTATAACTTTTCTTAAAACAGTGGGATTTATGTTTATTTTTCCCTGGGTTCATCAATTTGTCCACTCCATGGTGCCCGCTTAACGTTGAATTTGGGACATGTTGTATATAACATGGTATTTAGCAATGTTGTCGGATTAAAGACCAGTTCACATTGACGAATCTATGCGAAGATTAGTTAAACTCTAAAATTTACGCAGCGTATTTTTTATTCAACGTTTTTTTAAATTGTAGTGTCAAGCGTACTTATAGTTAACTTAAAGTTAAGTTGCTACCTGCACGCAGTGCTGCTTGGCAGTAAAACAAGGTGACGTACGCTGATGGATCTTAAGCAAAACAGAAGGCTTAGTAAATTCTTCTTTGACAGTCTTTTAATACACTTTCCGATGGATTGACCAAGAATAAGCCTGGTACACATAATATGAAAATTTTGCTCTTTCTACTCATTATATCATTATGTACATACACAATAACATTTAAGAGGGTAATTTGATCTCATAACCTTAGTCTCTTAGAATAACATCCTAAATCTTGCTGACTCCCTCACATACAAAGAAATCCTAAACTGGTTATTTTCGTACTTTGCTGGATAAACCTTTGTAAAGATCAAAGTTCTTTTTTCACCGTTATTCTATAAGAAAAGTTTAAGGGGACGCTGTAGGTGTTAAGACACCTACAGCGTCCCAGTCCCAGACAGGTCATAATGATGAGAATGTTTGCCGAGCCTGGCAATGGAACCAATGAGTCTCAGTGTCTATTATTTCATTAAATTGATACATTTAAAGCAAAACATCAACACAGTGGTGGCAAAAGTCTGATCCAGCTAGGATCAAAGACTTGAATATTTGGCTAGGAGTTCGTCTTTGCAAATACCAGATGTGCTTGCACCGCTATATTCCAGTCCGAAGGTTCAGTACCAGTATAACTACAGGTTATGAGGCATTAACTAATAAGTCCTTAGGGGTGACAACTCATCTGTATTTTTCTTTTTTTTTTAAGTTGAGTGAGTGTCCATGGACTACTATCAGGTAGGTTGTAAGTTCGTTAGTCACTCTAAAAATATATAAATGAAGGCAATATAAATTTATCGGCCAATGTTTCTTGTATTGAACAAAAGAAAGTTCGTGGCGGAAGGAAAGCGGACAAAATTACACTGGAAGTCGTAAACTTAGGGTAGAATTTTATGTAGAAACTTCGTAATTCCAGTTAACTTACTTTACAAGTCAACTCAAATTGAATGTAATGAATGTTTATTACATACATTATAAAAACGATTCCAGTGTCTACAGGACAAGGCCAACTGAACAGATATTGATTTTCTATATTTACATGAATACGACGCATTGAATGTCACCAATTTTATTGACGTGTTTTTATTATCTCGCTTTCGTGCCTGTTCGGATTTTAAACTAACTTTCCAAAGAGCTAGAGACTTGAAATTAAAAAAAGACAAAGTAAAATATAAAAAGAAGTTTTATGAAAATCAAGTTATTATTTTAGATTTTACTATCGTTTCGAGTGCTTTGCAGCACATGGTGGCGGGGTGACCGAGGTGTGTAATTACGTGTTCAAACAGTGACACGATCGATTAGGTATTAATTTATAAAACGAACGTTATTACTTCGGTCAATCATTCATGTAGCGCCAGCAAGTACCTACCTCACAGTCGGCTCGACTACCACTAACACTACCAGTTTATTTAAATCGCAAATTATCTATATCGACAAGTAGTAGTCCACATTACGTTGTAGAGCCACGCTGCAGCTATATTATAGTTGTAGCACGAATAGACGCCTCAATCGAGAATTAACCATGCTCTCATAGAATACCAGCGC